AAGGAAAGGCATGGAGGGGTGCGGGAGGGAAGAATAAAGTTCAAAGCTCCTCAGATGCTCCTGTTATCTACCCTTATTTATTTATTGCAAGCATTAAACCTCACCCTTTTAAGGTTAAAAGCTCTTTAACTTGTGTACTAYTGAAACATTAAATCTATAAATCTAAACAAACGTAATATATTGATCCAAATCCACAGATTTTTCATGTACAGTAAATATGTGTAGATAACCAAACAGATTCAGTTATTTTAGTTTTCTTTAAARTAGTGGGTAAGTTACGGCTTTCAAATTGTTCTGTGCTTTTAACAGCAGATCAGTGAAGAGTCCTACTACCAACCACTGGACCCTAAAACTGTATCTCCCATATACTAACTATATTAAGTTTTTTTTTTTTTTTAAAGATCCTGCAGTGGGGATGGGCAGTGCAGTTTTACAGGACAAAAATTACCAACATATAAATTATCCACATATAAATATATACATATATTTCATATATGATACAAGGTCAAACATGATGGCTTACCTGATTGCAAACTGCAACCACCCTAATAACCCAGTTAAAGCCAACTTAACCTTGCAGGTTACTGCTTAAATACGAGTTTTTGGAATTTCCTAACCTGATCTTGATACAGTGATATATGCTTTAATATGACATTCTACTAAATTTTTATTGTAGCCTTGAGCCCTTGTACGAAGATGGTAGTGAACAGAAYAAGTTAATATCATGGAAATATATCATCAATGATCTGGCTCTTCAGTGAGCATTTCCTCATTCCGAATTTGGAAACTGTAATGGGRCCGTTCGGAAAATAATTGCAACAGTTGTAGTCTTCAGCTGTCACACCAGCTTAAAAAGCAAAATGGAAATCAAGAAGAGCTCTCATCACATTTCTATTTGTGTGTCTTTACAAATAATTGTCAGTAATATAGATTTGTTACATTGAAAGGGAAATGTTTTCGCCAAAAGTAAGCTCTTCTGTTTCATGATACAAGCCACCAGGACAGCAGATGGTTAGGATGAGTTGATGCCAGGTAACCTGCTGGCATGACGTTGAGGCCCCCTTCCCAAATTAAAGCAGCTTTGCCGAGGAGATAATYTGAGAAATATTATATCCACATAATTTATTTCTTATATTAAAGGAAAGCCACAGCCTTAATGTTCATTCATAATATTCCTTAATGTATACCTCAATGTTTAGGAGCTTCTGAAGATCAGTAACCTGACAGAATAAGTATTGCAAGGAGATATCAGCAGTGCTTGCATGAACAAAATGTAAATCCCAGAAAAGCAAAAACATCTTCAACAAAACCGAAGTCAAGATTAGGAAAAGCCGGTTTAAACTACAACATATTCACCAACATAATTAGTATGTTTTGTATGGACATCATTCTCAAATCCATTTTAAAAAGACAAAAGAATAGCAGCAGCACATCCGTACATACGCAGGTAGGGGGTAAGCGCAAGTTCAAAAAAATGTAAAGACCTTTCAGGATTGCTTTTGACACAGTGAATTCAGCACGTAGTCAGAAGATGGACTGTATTACCTGCTCTGAACTGGGGAGGCACAGCAGTAAGAAAAGGAGCAGCACGACACGCAAAGCGGCCTACTGGATTTCGGAGGGCTCCGTGCRGACTCGGCGTGTTAGCGAGTGTTAACTCTGCAGTGGCTGCAGCAGCCACGTGAGATGGCCAACAGCAGGGCAATGAAGAAGGGAAAGAAGCGAGAGTAAAGCCAGCTTCACAACGGCTGGAAAACCCTGGACTCGGCTTGARGTCCTCTCCAGCACTGTCTTTGTCCAGCACAGTTTTTGTACGTAGCTGTGATTTGAGATAGCTTGGCTTAGACATGCACACCTATTCATTCCCTGTGAATAAAGCTCTGTATTTAATATACGTTAGTTTCAGATTAGGACATTTGTTGCCTAATGCACGTGATAAATAGTCCCAGTCTTTTCTACAGGCTCTCATTAAGAGACACGAGTACTTCTTTTGATCATGYCTGGGCTACAAATTGTACTTTGTACAATGGAATTCCTTAGATAATTTGGGCAGCAGAAGCAGCCTAGCCACAGCAGTACAGAACTTGCGCAGAAGCTTATCCTGTTTTTCTGCAGTTATGTGCACAATTTGCTCTAAATCTAAAGTTTCCTTCAACCTTTTTCCTCTTTCCCCTTTTCTTCTATAGCATGTACCTYTTAAAGATCAGGCAGAAGGCTCGCTCAAAGTACATATTCTTAAGCCACCACTGTGTCATTCTGAGAAAGAGACAACTAAATGACCAAATACCCTTAGCCTCCACATTCAGTAGTAATACCTAAAGTATTTGAAAGGAAATATGCATCAACAGAATACTATTTAAAGAAATCAGAAATGAAAGATATATTTAGACATTTTAAGCACTTTTAAACTAAAACATAAGAACCCTACCCCGCATCTAAAGTGAAACAAGTAAAAATAATCCCTTCCCCTTCCTCCACCCATGGCAGCCTGTAAAAATGGGCAAGAGCTATATACCCTGTGTGAACTGCACCTCACAMACTTCTGACCTTCCTACAGACCAAATTGAAGTGATAGAAATATACTATCGTGTGCATCTAATTAAAATCTGAAATGAGATATGACATTTCTGCCATCAGACATGAGTACATCTTGCAACTGTTCACTAGAAGCCCTCCATGGTTGTTTCAAAATTCCTTTTGAGATCAAAGACGTTCATTAATGACAACTAACTAGAACCTTCGTAGTAATCTCAAACAACAGGCTAGGCAGTAAAAAAAGGAATCCTCTAAAACAAATTTGATTAGCAAGACTCTCAGTGCTCTTTTAGGGGGAAAAAAGATAAAAAAAAGTAAAAAAAAAGATTTGCAATTTCAGCAACAGCAATTTGCTATTTCTCCATAGCATGCTTCAATTATGTCAATTCAAGTCTACAGATAGACTAGCAGAGCAAAAATTGGTAAGATGGCTTTAGAAGGCTTACCAGCACATGGCAAGGTGTTTTATATTTAATATCTAAATATTCTTGATGTGTGGCAAGATCAAGGATAAATGCTAGTCACTATCTAATTCTGAAGATACACGGGTTATTTCTTTTTTCTTACAAAACAAATTCAGATAGCAGATTAGATTTCCTTCTTTCAATACAGTATCAAAAGAAAGACAGATTTTTGTCAAGATGCATATATTGAGTTTTCCTCTATATTTTCAGTAGAAGGAGTGGAGCTAAGTAGCAATGAAGAAAAGAAGTTGGAATATGGCCTGGAGCAGCTGGATCCTTCAGTGTAGAGAAGTAACATTTGTTTGCTCTGTATGGTTACTACATCCCCTCAGTCACTAAAGATGAAAGTATTATGATGACTATTTTACAGAAATCCTACAGCCAAAGGACYACTCATCCTCCTTGCTATGCTCTCCTCCCCAAACACACACCTCTAATTTAAGATTCATCAGATTTATGCAAGTAGTTGTTCAGTTTTATGCACAGCAGTGGATATTTAACTATATCCAAAGAATCAAGAAAGTGCTGGACAGTGACCTAATTTTAAGTATGTCTTGTTTATGGAAGGTAATAACAATAATCATCAAACCATTAGTGAGTGATAAGACTTGGATACAGTTTCACCACTTAGTATTCAGGAAAAAGTTACAAAGAATTACTCTTTCAACCTGAGAACAGCCTGTTTTCATTGTTTGAGAAATACCATAAAAACATCCTCTCTCATGCCCTCTCATTTGGCATAGAGAAGGTGAGACAGGAAGGAAAAAACTGCACAGGAAGAAAAGAAGGAAAATACAAGACAGACAACAATGCACTAACTGTAGGAAAACACCACCAGTATGACAGAATATACATGGTACGGAGTGGCAGCTCTGTTTTCTTTCTGCAGCTTCCACCATCAACATCTCCTGGCAGTTTTTATTCACGACACTGTTCTGAGCATGTAAAATTTGTCTACAACTTTTAAAAACACRGGAAAGATGAGGCTTCCTACYTATGACTGTTCATAGTATGTGAAGGCATCACAGTTATCTATTATTTTGGCCATTACCAACACTGCCAGCCCTAATGCCCTCCTGAAATGCAGCRGAAATGTAGAGAAACATGCAATTTCAAACAGTCACAAATTTCCAATTACAAAAGCAATCCCGCACCATCTTACTTTTCCCTTCTCTCCTACAGCCTGTTCTACTGCAATTTAGTAACAACATTGCCATCTTGAAATAGCAAGAAAACATATTTAAATTCAGAGACTGAAGTTACAGCTAGCAACAGGTATGTGAGTGTGCATGTGTAATGTGTGTGCACATTCACTAACCACAGAATGGTGGAGGGTGGAAGTGACCTCTAGAGATCATCTAGCCAAAGCTCCCTGCAACAGTGATGCCAGAAGGTTAGAGTCTCAGAGAGAAATCCAGCAGCACTAAAAACACTGCAGGATGGAACAACGTTGGCCCTGGAGAAAAGGAACAGAAGTGTCTAAAGACAAAAATTTGAGACTGCATTTACAGAGCAGCAGTATATTCTCCTTTAAAGAAGAAACTGTTGCTTCAAGGAGCACAGTAAAGCCTCCCCAAAAGCTTGTGGTGGAAAAGGGTTGTATAAGCTACTAGAAGACAATATATTTGTTATTTATATAGTTATATATATATATAGTACTATATATATATACACTATATATATATACTATATATATAACTATATATATACAACTATATATAACTATAGCTATATATATTTATCTATATCTTATTTTACAGATATGAACCAGCGTGTCTTAAAAATCTCTCATTTTACTACGGCTTTCTTGAAGTGAGGGGTTAGTTGTTTTTTAACATCATTTTGTATTGCAATAGCTGTTGTTTCTATAACAAAATTTTGATGAACAACTAAACAAAGCTATTTGGTTTCTACTTTGCTTTCATACTAAAGTTGTTTTTAAGTCAAAAATAGAAAAACAAATAGTTTTGGAAAAATAGAAAAACGAATGGAAGTCCTTACCTTCTCTGTGGACTACGGTTTTGGGAGAACTCAGAATCACTATCCTTTGATGTTGGGGAGCCCTTATATGTGTAAAAAACATCCTCTGTTTCAGTAATATAGGAAATTTCATTTGTAAGGTTATCTACAGATGAGTGTCGTGGTTTACGGATCTCATGACGAAGCCTAGGACTCCGCCTTTAAAAAAACAAACAAAAAAAGAGAACATGATCACCAGTTGGTAGGTCAGAATCACTTGTAAGACTTTTTCAAAAGTAACTATCTAACCTAGTGAAACCTAGGTCCTAAAAATATTCATGAGATGCCAACAGCACTCTTTCTGAGCAAAAGACATCAATTTAGATAAGCAATTTTAAAAGATTTTGTATGGCACCTATGTGATCGTACACTATCAAGTTCACTACAATAAACCATTATTTTCCTCTAAAATGATATGTGTACCTCTTAGAAATATAGGCTAATTCAGGTTGGAATGAACCTATGGAGGTCATCTAGTCCAATGCTTGCATAYAGGCTCATCTATGAGATCAGATTAGGCTGCTCATGGTTTGATCCATCCGGGTCTTGAAAACCTGACTCCAAGGATGCAGGTTTGGACAAACTCTCTCCTGCACAGCAAGGGCAAYTTGTTCCAACGTCTGACTGTCCTCAAAGTGAGGAGGGAATACACTGGCTCCATTCCTGAKAATGAAGTCAGATTGTTGCTGGTACTCTTGGCTGCTAGGACACACAGATGGTTCAGGTATGTCATGCTGCACACCATCTCATGTCTTTTTGTTGCAGAATTGCTCCCCAGACAGTACTGCTGCAAGGGATTCCTCCATTTCAGGACTTTGAATTTCATAAGTTTCCTGGTGGTCCATTTCTTCAAGTTGGACTGTCTGTCCTTAAGCTGGTCGCCTGCCTCCACCCACAGTTTGATGTCATCCGCAAACTTTATGAGCAAGCATCAAGCATTCAATTGCTCCCCTCAGGGTTTTTTTTTTTTTTTTTTTTTTAACCACTTACCTGTTCATTGGTCCACCCAGACTGTAACATCTGTAACACCTTATCATATAAGAATAGTGTGACACATTGCAAAAGCTTGGTAAATTTGAGATAAGCGATACCCACTGTTCTTTTATCAGATGTATTATCAAAATATTAATAGTTTATATATATAGATACAAACTACRTAATTATTCTGCTAGAGAACATATAATTAGAAAAGGGTAATGGGCTAAAAGGCAGAAGAAAGGCTGAAACTTGATTTACCAGTTGGGGGTAACAGGAGGTGACCGAGAAGGAAGGCTTTTGGTCTCCAGATGCTCAACAGATAAAGATCTTCTCATAGAAGGGTTCCAAACCATCCCACCTATAACTTTTCTGCAGTACTGGGAGTTTACAGACCTGAAAAGAAATAAAAATCTAATGTAAATTACTTCACATAGARAAATTTAACGCAATCTCTGATCTTCACAACAGATTTCAGTCAAAAGTYACTAATGACTTTCATCCCATTTGCAGGAGTTACATAAATGCACAGATTCACAGTACAGGCCAGTGGCTGATGAAGTTGCACTGTGAGGATGTAGTCATAGATCTGTAGAACTTGGTGCAACTGGGTGTGGTAGAAAAGATGGTTTAAAGGATTCTCTCCTGTTTATCTTCCTTTTTTAAGCATTTGCATTCTCTCAGAGCCATTTGTTGCCTTTCACTTCTGGCAATAAGACTGTTTGGCAGTCCCTGCTACAATGCTAATTGCAAAGGTGACCTGGGTAAAAATAACCTTTTCTGAGAGTTATTTTTAGTCCGATTGTGTTTAAGAAAATAGAGCGAAAGAAAAACAGGAAATTCAGTATGTTCTGCTGGCACTGAACTGCCTGCCTCCTAAACGTAGTTCAAAAATAAGCAAAATATCTACCTCTCCTGCTAAAACTCACAATGAGGTAACAWTTCACTAACAACTAACTGAGCACAGGAGTATTTTAATCATCTATTTGCTGCCTCAGCAAATAAGCACTACACTACCCAGATTTTCATTACCAGAGGGGAGCTACATTTAAGTGATTTGCACTTTGGGGAGGGTAGGGAGAGGCAGGGGAGAATTAGAAGGACATCTGACATGCAAAGGGGGAACCACCTTCCTCAAGCCTGGTTCTTGTGACAGAACCAGACTAGCAGCCCACAGCTGGCATCAGAACCTCAGACAGAAAAAAACCAAAGGGCTCACGAGCAGAATTATACAGAATGAAATGTTTAAATTTAATCCTAGCCTAAACAGGCAATTACATGTTAATCTCTTCACATGGCAATTCATGGAGAAAGTATAGAGATAAGCTGCTCATCCTTAAATTCAGGGGTATGGGATTTATGATCAAGGAAAAGCAGCAACTTTTAAGTTATAAAGAAACCACCTTTGCCTCGCTAAGTCTTCAGCTGTGAATAATAAAAAATTGGGATACAGTCCATGTGTGGAAACGCTACAAATTTTCGTCTTTGAGAATCTTCCTTTGCTCACACTGCCGAAGACAAGCCCAAAAGGACTTTGGTCTGTCCCTGTATAAACTGCCCTATACTTATACCTGGATATAATTGACAGTATATAAGGAAATTGTTGACAGAGGCGAAAACTCTGCACAATTATCTTGAAAAAGATAATAAGTCTCTACACAAATAGATTTTAGAATAGAAGGCATGAAAACCAAAAGCATAATCTAGAGTTTTCATGATTTTTTTTTTTCCAGGATAGAGGCACATCAGCATTTTTTGGGTTTATTATATGGCTGAAATTTTTCTTTTTTACATAGACGAATATGTTTTTCATGTCTGTATATAGCCATGAAATATGCTCTTAGCTTCAAATATCTTAACCTTAAAACCTTAAATATATTTTCACGAAGTACGAGAATGAACACAAGAGTTTATTCAGTGTTTGCTCTGAAAAGGTAAAATGAAGTTACTTCTCAGAATCTGGGAGATGTGATCCAGCTCTACCTTTAAAATAAGGCTTACAGGTGATATATATACACAATTTATACAACTCAGCTGCCTAATTTAAATGGAATTCCACCTCCGCCTTAGCTAAGAGAATCTAGAAGGGACACAGAGGTGTGGGAATAAGAGATTGTAAGAAAAAAGTTGCAGGAGCTCAACTATTTGAACTGATAAAACAATTGGGAGGATATCTGCCTCACATGAGCATAAAAATACAATGCAAGGAATCTATGCTGCAAGTTCCACAGAAATAACTCTCCCTGAAGTTGACCAAAGCTGGATGAAGAGAATTATTGTAGCTGAGTATCAGGTTCCAGGGCTTTGTTCTTTAACTTGATGAGAAACCTTGCTCTCTTTCCTAAAAGAGCAAACCTAATGCCTTTTTTCTCCACTTGAGTAGGCTTCCACAGGAATTCAGAGACACCCCTGAAAAGCAGCATGGAAGAGCTTTCGAAAATCTTGGCAGGTTTGACAGAGAGAGAAAGCTCTCCAGGAAATAACATTTCCACAAGCTTTGAAAAAGCTCATCTTCAAAACTCAGATCTGTAAAAACTAACAAAACCAGGTTGCCAGCTACTTGTTAAAAATTGCTTCAGCTATGATCTARCACTAAGTGAAAAACCAGAAATTCCACTGCAGAAGATGACAAATATTTCATCTACATTCTTCATGTTGAATGATGCTCTAGCTATGCAATAGGCATCTGTTGAAGCCAGAACCAATACTCTTATAAAGTTGATACATTATTCTGATGTTAATTATWAAAGCATTGGTTTGTAGCAGGTGAGGTAAATTTACCCATCCCAGTGAAACTGCACGTCCTGTTTGCTGCACATTCTTATTGCTCACTAGCCACTTGGTATTTTTTACCTTCTAGTGCTTTTCAAAATGAAACAGGGAGTTGAAACACCACCATCAGAGGATACTTGTGTTCAAGTAACTTCTTATATAAAAAGTTTAATGACATTGACCTCATGTTGCAGAAACTGAAACCCAAGTTACATAATTTGTCCAGCAGATTACATTACACCTGCAACACAGCTGTCAGTAGGACTGAACTCCATAAACGCACCCCAATTTTGGCATCAGTGATGAACTCCTCCACGCCACCACCTTCATTAAAACACAGAAAATGCTTTCACTCTGTACTTACTTTGTTGGGTTTCTAGAACCTAGGGTCCAATAGTGCGACAGTATCTTTTTTTCATGAGGTAGTGACTTCTTTGCCTGAAAAAAYGTGTGATGGTCTACACAAGACTTCCACAGATTTTTGCATGCTCTGTAATTTAGCATGTTGAAGGCAACAATATGCTCTCTGGATTCATTCTGGAATGATAAGAAGTACTAATGTTTCAATACATACAAGCAGATCGAACACAACCAAGCAGATAAAATTGTGTAAACAATAAAATTATTTTTAGCCATAAATAGTGAAACTATATTTAGGAAAAAGCATACAGTAGATTTTATGCAAATACTGGAGATAGTCAAAATATTTCTTTCACTGCTATGTGACTATATACAATTGTAAATTCTACAATGCATTATTTTAATCATTTGAGTAATACTGAAAAATAAATTTATTCCTATCAATACTACTTTAATGAAAATACTTAATTCTAGCATGTGAAAAGTTTTCAATAAACATGCATGGCATGTYGATATGGTTTCAGCTCAACATGGTTTCAGGTTTCCAGTCAGTTCTTGACCAGAGTCAAGAGCTTCCAGTCAGCAAAGACAAGACTTTTAAGCATTTTATTAATGGTGTCACACACAAAGGACCCTCTGACTTTAAAMCACTCCATTCAAATACTTCACATATGGCATTAATTTAATAATGTTATTTTGAGACATTCCAAGAGCTACAGTCCGAAAAAAATTGGCTAGGCAGTCTTCTGGAAGATAAAATGTGTTAACAAGGGTCCATTTTAGGGAAAAGAAAGTAAGTTAATTGTGATAGGCTGGAGCTGCTGCTACTGCTTTTGAGATCTAATCCTGCTTTTATGTTTTAGCACCAACTCAACTTGCAACCTCAGTGCTACAGTGCCAAACACAGGCATAACACAGTTGTGCCACCCACATTTATTTCTTGGCCAAGTGCATTGCTTGGTGTGGTATTTTCAGGTCCCAGTGCTCAACAGTTTTGCAGAAGGTTTGGACAGACAACCCAAAATCTTATTGAAGCGAATAAAGCAGGAAGAAAAGTTATGCAAGGAAGAGAAAAGTATAAAAGACAGCAATGCGAGACCCAAACTAAGTGCTATCGCAGCTCAGCATGTTAGTACAACAACAACAACAACAACAAAGTTTGTGATGTCATCATTCAGCTTTTTCCATTTGTCATCTAAATTATGATTTAATTTTGATGTCTCAACATATAACTTCACAGGCAACCATGCTGGTAGTTCTTTCCCCTTTTCAGCTCATTCTTTGGAGAGAGTCATGATTTGGGTTGCCAGGACTTCGTAAAGGTCCAGAAAGACCTAATAAAATTATTTAATATGAAGTCCAACAATAGAGGTCTGACTCAGTTAAAGCGTGATTTCTAGCTGCACTGTCCTTTCTTTTGGTCAGAGCAATAATCCCTTTGGAATCCCCTCATAAATTATCTGGAAATAACTACAGACCAGTTTGGTTGGTGACAGGGAGGAGATCGGGAGAAGCAKTTTATTCTCCTTGTATTCTTTTTCTTTTTGAAAAGCTTCTGCAGGTATCATGTACCAGAGATCAATGCCACATTCTGCAAATCATTTTATAAGGAGCTCATGGCTTTAGCATCAGATTTCGTATTTTGGAAAACAAATGAAAATTACAGAACAAAAAAAGGATTTGTCCTTTGATTTTATACAGACATTGCAAAATATTTAACGAATTGCAATCTCTCAGGCATGATCTCTCTGTATATTTTAAAACACCTAACAAAAAGATCTTCATTATGCGAGTCTGTCATACAGGAACCAAATTAGTCTTTGGTACTTTACTTTTATTTAGGGAGCTTGTAGAAAACAAAGTGCACAGGCACTGTGAAATTTTAATTCAGACTTCTTTTTGCAATATATTAAGAGCTCAAAGCATGTAAATATTTAATAGCAAGTGACATTTCTTAGGTACTCTAAGGGCGGGATATTACTCAATGTTTTATGCTTCTCTAGAAGATTAAAGAGAACACTTTAATTCTTATGACTAAAGTTAAAAGACCAGTATTCTAAAAGGACAAGATTTTAAGTGTTCTCTTTAATCTTTTCAGATTTTCAGTACAATCAAGTACTGGTCAAAAGAGGTTTTTTTTTTTTAAAAAAAAAGACAAGATTTTGTTTATCTGGACATTTTGATTGTACTGAAAATCCATTATGTACATATAAAGAATTAAGTTTACCTAATATTTCCTTTACAAATTTAGGTTTGAATATAGTAATGAATTGTACTTTTAAAGTTATAAATTTAGCCTTTGCAACTGTTGTCAGAAAACTTCCCTCAAAGCTAAGCATGCTTAAAGTTTAAACAGCGACATATGCTAGGATACATACTTTCAGAAGCTTCAGAAAATATTTATCAAAGTTGCAAATTAAGAGGAAGATTTCTTTCACAAAATCTTTTTACTCATTAACAGCCCACTTTGCAAGTCAGACCATTAAATCTAGATACAGTTTTAAAATTCCAGAGAATTTCAGCGAGATGCAACGATCTGGTGCATAACAACCTTTTCAGACCAAATTCCAAAGGAAGTTCATTTCAAAAGAAGTGGGTTTTAATTATTATCACAAAATGAGGATTTGGGAGATTTGTGGCTACTGGGGTAAAGGAATCAAATCTAACAAAGGGCAAAAGTGAGTTGATTGCTATTTTATACCATATTCAAAAACTTGGATCACAGACAGTGATCCAAGTATACTCAATTACAGAATAATTGCATGGCAAACTTACCTCACTATGCAGAAATGTATGTTTGTAAGAATTACATAAACCAAATCATTATCAATACCAAGTTCCATTTCTGGAAGCTTTAAACCATTGCTTGTAAGATACTAAATCCCTTACTCCTCCCTTAAAACCTCCACATTTCATTCAACCTAGGTATCAATAGCTTTCRGAAAACGAGACATTTACTGATTTATCCATCTCCTAGTCCTTGTGTAGCTCTTCAATGGACTACAAGGCTATATACTCCCTACTAGATATGCCAGCCAGAAGACYGGGGCAGTGGGTGGCTAACGGAGGMGGCAGGTAGTGGAAAGACGAGGGAKGGCCAAGTATGTTAACTCTCTASAAGAATGGCACGAAGAAAGAATGAAGAGTAAGAAAAATCAGTAGAACACATTAAGAGAATGTAGGATGTCCTAGAGGATGGCACAATCATGGCCTTTGAGAGTTTTCTTCAGATTTTGAAGAGAAAATCCACATACCATGAGATACAAAGCATTGAACTATTATGGCACTGTTGCCATCTTTAATTAAACCTTACATAGAAACTGTCGTCCTCTGCTCCGCTTTCCCCATATTCCTATACCTTCCTCATTTAGTTTCATCCTTTCAATCTCTTATGGATTTCCTTCTGCTCTTCTAAGCGTAAGCCCCAAGGCTGACCTGACCTCAGCGATCTGCCCTCCACCCTGCCTCCAGGGCCCACACTTGGGAAGGAGGCCCAGAGCACCCAGCCACCCTTYGCCGTGGCCGCGCTGCGGCCTCGCGCTGCCCAAAGCGGCACCAGCGCGAGCACCGCCGGCGCGCGCATTTGCCGCCCTACATTGCAGGCAAAGGCGGAGACAAGTGACAAGAGGAGTACAGCGAGAGATTTAATAGCACACCCGGCCTGCTGCTTCTTATCTACTGAGAGGCGGCAAAAAGGTCATGCTGCTGGCAATATATATATTTTTTTAATTTAATTGAGCAAACTAAGAATCTTGCCCTTTTCAAAAATGTGTCATGACTGCAGAAAGAGAAATTATTTTTTTGACAGCAATAAAGCTTTTAGGCATGAATACGAATATTTCAAGACACCTTAAATACAAAGGTAGTTACACAGTTATACTTCATTCCTTCGTATTAAAAAAAAAAAAAAAATCTATTATCCACTGCTACTAATCGCTCTCTGTGATGGAATTCTCTTCTTATGTTTGTTCTCAGACACTTTGCCATTCATAATACTTGTATATATTAACAAACATATTTAGAATTTAATAAGACTGCTTGTCACGGATTTTTTAAAATCCTTAAATTAAGAAAAAACAGTATTGKGTGACCAATTACATGCACGCACTAGTAAAATGAACTACTTGTCAGCCACTCATATCTTCATACAGTGACACACATTTGAAGAGATCAAGGCAAGTTTACMTATAAACAATACATTCAGAAATAGAAAAGTACAATTTGTAAAAGCTTCAGGCCCATCTGTGGTTGGTTTTGAAACTCACTCTCAGGAGAAAATGGCTTATTTTGTGCATCTTGTGTCTAAACATTAACACTATCTTCGTCTATTATTTTAAAAGGAGCACTGAAAATAAAGAATATATACATACCCCACAAAATCCTGTCTCAAACAGTCAAAACATGCATCCAATTAAAAAGATAAAAAAAACTCTCCTTCTGCTTAGAAACGTTAATTAAGAAAAAGCATCTGTTGTTCAGCAGGGCTCTTAATCTGTGGGTCAAGAGGTTCTCTTGTGACACAGCTCCTGGCAATTTAAGAACCTACTTACCACAATCATCAGCCAGATTCCATAAAGTTTAGCTACAATAAAGTCACAATTTATCTTTCATTACATATTTGAATCCTGTCTTCCATTGAATTCAGATGTACTTAGGTCATATTTACTAGTCACTGATTGCCATATTGTTTTTTCATGTCATGAATATTCCTCAAAAATGGCTTATCTATTCATATACCGAATAGCAACATAACAAACAAAGCAAAAATAGCAACAAAGTAACTGTAACCAAGATTTTTTTGCCTTTTCGTTCTTCTATAAAAGACTGGTATTATTATTGTTTACAAACAAAATCAAAATTCAAACACACAGAATTATTAAGAGGACTCTAAACAGCAAAAGGGAATTTTGCATCAATTGTCTCAACTATTTTCAGGTTATTTTGCCAACATCCCAAGCGGCCCATATTACTTGCTGAAGGAGATGCAGTGTCCCCCTTTCCAGCCTCTTTCAGCTGCAGAGCTCCCCTCGTCTCCAGCGACCTTTCTTTCTCTCAAAAGTGAGCCCCATGAGCAGGTGCAACCTCACAACACCCTCCTAGGCAGGCCCAGCAGCTACTCAGCAGAGACACTGCACTGAAGCACTGCTCAGGGCAGCTCACAAGCGGACTGCACATCAAAGAAAATGGTAGCAGATGCTTGCAGGCAAAGGGAAAAATGACAGGTTACTAAACACCAGAGAAARCACGAAGATTTGTCTCCTCTCCAAACCTGTAAATGAAAAGAAAGTTGAATGGGAAGGAAGTCCAACAGAGTGGTGATGAAAGAATCCCATAACGGAACAGAAAGGGGAAATAAAGCGAGCATAAATTAACTGCAATAGCGAAGGCAACATAATACAACAGAGCACCTACRGAGCCTGCCTTTGGTCATCTTAAAGGTCAGCATTTCTCCTCAGGTTCCTCTCATCCCAGGCCAAAAACTCAAACATGGACACTTGAGGCAAACACAGTAAAATGACTACTTACATGTTTTTGCCGTTGCTGTATAAAAAACTTTTTCCTTTTAAAGGAAATTTTTAAAATGTTCACCCTAAAAGAAAGAAAGAGACAATGAAATACTAAGTGATTGGGCAGAGGGAGAAAATGATCAGAAAAAACATTAAGTACAATGAGTCTAAAAGATTGTAGCTGTTGAATATTCCACAAAGTAGTGCAGCCATCTCTTGGGTACTGAGTGTCAGATGAATGACAAGGAAGATGAATCAAAAATTTTGAAAATTAAACTTTTCTCCTTCATTCACATTTCAAATAGTTCACTTTGCAAATCTCACCCATCAAATCACCAAATCCATACTTGTAGCAAAGAACTCAGGGACCTCCTTTATGAGCTTACAAGGTCCATGAAATATTCTTCAAGCTTGTATAACTTAAGAATCATACTAAAAAAAAAAAAAAAAAAAAAAAAAAAAAGCAGTAATGATATTGCAAATGCTTGAGTACATGTGGAGGTACTTGTGACCACATAAATATTAATATATTTGTAGAAAGACAAAAATTGTATGAGTGCTAATATATTTTCTCCTTCAATTATTAATACTGCTACATGATTTACATGGTATCTTTATACAAAATGGAGCATCTCTTTAGATATAAATGGTGCAAACAATGATTTTCTAAGATAGCTATTACAGGTGGAATTGGTGCCTAACAACTTTTCAATTTGCTTTTCAGTATTTCAAAAAACAAAAYGTATTTGGAACAAAATTTGCTAGAGAGGTTCCCTCCTAAAGAGATTCCCTACAGCAAAATAAAGATTCATGTATTTCCTAATTTTCACAGATACCTAAAATACCTGAATACTTCAAACACTTTGGTAATGAAAAGCTTACATATTTCTGAAAGAAATCTGTGACCAGCTAAGGAATGTTCTGCAATCATATGCGTGCCTTTGGAAAGTCATGCCAAGTCTGATCAGGTCATATGTTTCTGAAAAATACCACCTGCTGCATTCAGTGAAAGGTTTTTGAAGGTTGTTGCTTTTTGAAGGTAAGTCTCAGAACATTAAGTTCTCCTGAGAATGTCCCAGAACCTTAAATCTCACCAGGAATAAAGTATCTGTGAGATGGCCTTGGTTCTTGCCAGCTTTGCACTGCTCTCAGCAAGGGCCCTGGCATTCATCCCTACTTCCTATGGGAAAGATACACTCTGTTATAGAGCAATGTCCTCACTGATGGAGGGGAATAAATTTGCATGTTTCAAATAAGAAAGATGAAAGAATAATCAACCCTCCTGCAGAAAAGGTCTAGAAAATTGAATGYGTATCCATTTCTGAGTAAGTGTTCAAAATGTTTCTTGTTGATGTCAAATAAGGAACCACATAAAATGCAGGAACTTCAGTCACAAAATTCTTTGGTCATTAGGCAAACAATAGTGCAAGTTACTGGAGAGCTCAAATAATATGTAGTTCTGCCTAGGCCACCCTCTAACCTACTTGTACCATTTGACTTGCTGCTGCAAATGGCAAAGCTCTCTACAGCTTTCCTAGAAGTTCCAAACTTCCAGATAAACTTGTAGTTGAGTTTACAGAGGTGGAACTCACTTAAGCCTAGCCTTTCTTAGTGTTATTGCTACTCTGCCTCAACTAGTACTACTCAAGTTTTGCACCACTGGTTCATTCCCACAACATTTTTGTCTGGCTTTGACTATACTTCAACAAGTTTTTGGAGGCATTGCCAGCACACACAGTGGTTGTCACTGTTCTTATTCTAATACCAGAAGCAAAAAAACAGTAATCCAACCTGACAGACTAAGAAGGGAAAGAAAAAAAAAAAAAAAACAAAAAAACATCACCCACTACCATCAAACAGCCCAAAGGCAGTCAACATTTAAGGCAATAAAAATCCACAATCTTTCTATTCGTAATGCTTTGTAATGATGCAATCCACGGCCACATAATCATCTCAAATTAGAGCATTAGTATACTTACTATTCTGAATTACAGCATTCCTCTCAATTTGATTAATTTTCTTGAAGTACAGCTAAAATTATTGAACACCAGTTTTACTTAACACCAAGAAAAAATATGTTTTGCAACATTACACTTACTAGTCCAGTGAATGCTCGTATGCAACACAGTCCACAAAGAGAATCCAAGAAATGAAGTTAGGTAAGGACTTAGAYTGAATAAATGCTTGAGGATACCACATTCCAAACAGGATGTACTTGCTGCTACTCCAATCTGTGGCTCACCTGCCCCTCCTACTCACCAGCAAATCTGTGCAACAACTACACAACAAATCACTCTCTTAAAACATTTGATAGTTGCAGCACAGTACCAATGATAAATCTTTTGGCTCCTGTTTTCCTGCCATTTGGATCAGAAGGAGCAGAATGGATTTATCACATAGCAGGTATGGCAATTATTCACTTCTGATCTAACTGGCAGTTCTGTCCTGGCACTCATTRGTAGCAGCTGTTATTTTTAACTTGAAGCAAACATGTTTCTTTAGCCATAAGTCTACACTTTGCCCTAGGAAGATTGAACATGAAAGATTTTGTCAAATTTACTTCTTAATGCTCAGAGAGGTTGCTTTTCTTTAAAAAAATTCAACTAGTAATGTAAAATATATTCTTCTAGAAGTTTTTCTAAAGCTTCCAAAGCAAAGAAACTGCATACAACAAGTAGCATTTAAAACACAATCTTAAATTTCTCCTGACATAAAATACAGAGCAAACTTGTATGTTCTGTCATTTAGGCAATGTTTTACTTGCAGAACAAGTCCGGAAATTATCACAAGATGGTCAATATCTCTAAGAATAATTTTCTGAACATATCAAATTTGGGGACAAATGTAAAGTTATCTTTAAAATCTGTCTTTACTTGCATTGTCTCTGAATGATCATATATCTCTGTGACTGAAAACTCCTGCCTCTACCTAACCAGTATACTCTCTCTGCCTCTGTTCCTGAATTTTTTGTCCTCTTTGGCTGCTACCATATGGCACAGCTGTTATTCTGTTATCTATTAATGCTGCTGAATATCTCACTTGAACTTTTGAAAAGAATGCTCTGATGGTTTTTGCTGCCACCTTGAGCTCTATTACGCTTATGCTGAAGCTTGCTCAGTTTGCACAAAAAAAATACTTACCATAAAAGGGGCTATATAAGACACTTTGAACTATCTTTCCTCCCATCCCACCTCACCCACCTTCTCAAGCATGTATTCTTCTCTGAGGAATCCCCTGACCTGCACAGCTTCAATCCAAAATGCATTAAAAATGTGGGCACTAGAGAAATGTACCCTCATTTAATGCCTTAGTTAAGAACTGAAAATATACTCTACAAAGACTGTTTGGCTGCTATGCTCTGGTAACATCCCTRCACTTTGGGAGGCATGAAGAGGAGAGGAGGAGGAAGGCAGCATTCCTGAATGAAGAACGATGATTAACTTATTCAAAAAGCCAGAAATGCCAAGTATTTATCCTTTCAGGTTCTCAGTTTAGGTCTTGCTACTGCCAAGCTGAGAAGACATTTTTAGAGAGATACAGTAGGAAAGCTTTGAACAACTATTTCAGCTTTCAACTGAAAATATTATTGCTCAAAGTSTGTGTCTTGCAGTGGAAATATTAGAACAAAAGACTCTGTTTTTCCCTCAATTTCTTATTTTTTTAAAAAAAGAAGATATAACATTTTAACATATATTTTAACTCTCCAGAAATAAAAAGTAGAAGTACTATAGGAAGTTGTAAATTTATCTTAAATGCTATAAAGCATTGCTTTTCCTCCCTAAAAAAACATACAGTTCTGGATTTTAAAATGTTATCACTATGCTTTTCATGCATTACTATCTCCCATTYGTATCTCAGGTCATTAAGTTAGCAGAAGACAACTTGGAGAAGAAAGAAAACAGAAATAGGTAGCTTTTAAAACCTGCACCCATTTAAAGAAGTTGAGAGATTAATAGAGAAATAAAAATAYAAAATATCACTCTGCTATATGAAAGCACTGATATCTGCATAAGGATGGATGTAGGAAATCCAAGTGAGATGAAAGAAAAAGGGAAAAAATTAAGACACTTTGCTCTTTCAACTATAATTATTTCAACCTATTTTATTGCTTTCCCATAGCAAATATTTCAAAAGGAAAAGGCAGAATGACTTGGGTCAATAATAATGTTAACAGTTCTTAATATAATTAAGAAACCAATGGCATCTACAACCCATTAGAAGGCATTTTTCTGTGCCAGTGAGGAACATTATATCATATTACTGGAAATGCTCTCCAGGAAGACTGTTATAAATTATACCAGGAAATTATACATAACATTTATGTATATGATATTCTCAGATAAAGAAAAAAARCATTTATTTAAAAAAAGGAGGTAGGAAGGAGGTGGACAGGGAAGAATTTTCTGATGCTTTCAAAAGAACTTAAAAGCAAGGCCACAGAAACAGAAAAAAATATATACTTTAATTGTAATAATTTTATATACGTCAGAYATCTTGTGCAGGTTGCTTCCTATTCTTAGAGTTATTTTTCTAAATTACTCTTCTGTATCCTACTGTTTCTGGTAGGATACAGCAATGAAAAGGTCCCTCCTCTTCAAAGATTCCAAAATCTCCATGTTAGCACTACATAACCTTGTTTAATGAAATTTGGAAATTTGTATAAATTATGTTATCCTAAGTCTAAGTGAACTTGAACCTAAATATCTCTTTTTATGTTTCTTTGAAAAGTGCCCCTTTACTGAATGATCAAATTGCCAACTTTCGAGCTTTACTTACTACTATTTTAGTAATAAGTTGTACCAATAGTATCAATATCAATTGATACAACCAGTAGTTTCAATAAGTAGTACTACTTAGTACAGATACAGATTTTCTACTGTTACACTCAAAGGTAACACCAGAGCCCACCTAACTGTCTACTGAGGCCCAAGATAACCACATTAATTTGATTAAGACTTCAAACATTGCAAATATTTCAAGTCTTGTAGAAGCAAAAGCCTAAACAACCATATTCATTTTTACCCTAATGCAAGGGTATGATACAAGAGTACGACATCATGACACACTATAAAAAAACAGCAGTCACCTCTGCAATAAACACTAAAGAAGGTAAGAATGAGATTTTTAAAAGTGTATGCATTTCTTAACTAATAAAGGAATTTACCAGGGATAGAAGCTTGTGCAGATGAGTTTTCTATACACAGCAATACCACCCGATGCAATCCCTATCATGAGATCTAGATTATGAAGATCCTGAAAAAGAAAAACATTTTAAGAATACAGATGCAGCATGTCATTCCCATTTACCTAGTCATAGATTTTTCAAATTTTTAAAATTCATTGTACAGACAAGCTTAAAATACAATGCTTGAGGCATAAAACTCAGTCATTTATTCTGATTTTTCTTCTCATGCATCTCTTTAATCCTATTTAGTAGACAACATAGTCTCACTCACAAAAAAAAGTTTTAGTGTTCATCTTACTACACAAGGTATTTATGTCCATATCAGACTACGAAGTTTCAAGTCTAGTCTTACATTTTAAATTATATAGTTCAAYTATGTGAAAAATCAGGTACTTCAAGGTGAGTCAAATAAAACAAAGAATTCTGAACAAATCTCCTGGCTCTATACTTTTCAAGAAGAAATGGAAATAACTCTTTATGATTTCCAAAGAAATCTTACTAACAAAAAATATTGTGGGAGGTGACCACAATTCTGCAAATGAGAACATGCTAGAGGAATATATATGCATACATGAGTATTTGACACACAAAACAACCCATTGCTAAGTAAAACAAATATACAATGTTAGCTTTACATGCTTAACAGGAAAAATACATGCTTAACAGGAAAAATACATCCCCATCTTTACAGCAGCTTCATCCCTTTTGTAAGATAGTCCTGAGGAAACGCATGCTTTTATTTTTGGACATAATTTTTGAACAAAATGAATGGGGAGGAGTTGATTAGTTCAGTTTGAGGCTAAACCCAACCAGATGCTGCACAAGTTACCATTTTTGGCTCTGTTTCCATTCATTACGGTTCACACACACGTACTAATATTTTACTACACAGAAGTTTCTAAGCTGAGCTGACCACATGCATAAAGCTGCACACTGGTGGGTGGAACGCCCTGGTTACAACATCACTTTGGACTCACCTGTGGCCTCAGAGTATTTCGTAAAGGACAACCAAAGGTAAGGGATTCTCTTAAAGCCTGCGCTAGCTTAGCTGATCCTCTAGGTGGTAGTCTCTGCTCACCTAATCCAGCACCTCCTTGTACRCCAATTTCTTGCTATTAGTAAATCATAAAAGAATACAATGCATAACAGGCTCTAACAATAGCATCAAAAGTCTATACTAAATCCTTCAAAAACAAATTAAACTTTGATATGAGTACACGAGTAATGACTTTGCTACATGGCTTATAAGCCTCCAATGAAATACCACAGCAGTTCTCAAGAGATGAGCATAACATATAGCATAATACTGAACTCTGGCAAAATGCGAGAATTAATGTTCCCATTTCTGTGAGTTTAATATGGAAAAACCATTAAGTAGGTAGCTGTCCAAATGCAGTTAATCTCAAGATGCTGATGAAATAGCTCAGAACGAGCTCAAGTGAACAACAGTTCCAGATTCAACGCCTGAATCTCCACCCGAGGAAGCTCCTGGACTGCCATGCTTCATGTCAGCATACTGAAGTCACCAAGAATTGCCATCACTTTATTGCAATAAGCCATGGAGCAAACTGAGGCACTTCAGGAGCTGATGCACATGTAATTTAGCTACATGCCATAGGACAACCAACTTAAAGCAGCACAGAGAGCACCTGATCRGCACCCGACTTCAAGTTGCTGCTTTTAAAGGTCAATAAGACACAGAAAAGACACTTTTGGMCCGAGAATTCAGAACCTGCATCATGTAACACAAATAAAGGGGTAGCTAAAGACTGATGGGGTTCATGAAACTAAACGGCTCCATTTTCTCTGTTCCAGAACACAYTTGATTTCCTCCTCCTCCACTCCTGTCCACAACACCAGTCCTCGCACACTATTTGTTAAACTGAATTCTCTTGTGTTAGAGCTCAGAATTCTGAAACCAAGACCTTGCAACTGGGGAAAGAGTTTCTCATATGAAGAGCTTCCAAGATGAYATACAAAGTAAAGCGTGCAGTTACTTATTTTCCTTTTAAAATATCTATGCTGTTAAACTACATAAATATGCAGTCATGCACATGCTTTGCTTTTTATCTGTTTCTTCAGAGACCAACATGAATAAAATTTATAAAGGTAAAGGAGGATCATGCCAGATATGCAGTTAAATACTGATCAACATTTAATTTCAATTGCAAATGCTACCTGAATTTTTGTAGACATGGCAATAATATCAATTCTACAAGTTTCCCATCTTCCTGTTTCTGGGAGAAAATGAAAAGACTAACATCAGATTYATTATTGAGCCAATAAAAAAGTGGCCCAGAGTCAAAATGCTTAAACTTGATTGTTGAAAATATTTGACTTAATACCATAAATCTTTTAGATTAAGGAAACTAGACATTCATCTGTTCTTCAAGAAACATTATCCCAAAGTATCTGACTCTCAAACATTTGCAAAGCAGCCCTCATTTATTTGGCCATTAGTATAAAGGCCAGGTGTCACCTGGTTCCTTTGTCATACAGAATCTTAGAGTGCCAGGGCTCTACCTCAGTAACATGAGGTCAACCATAAGCTCCCAAGTATCCACACACACATAGAGTTGGGAAAAGAGCCTGTCAGTCTTAAAAACAGCGACCAAGAATTCATTAGCAGGGTCAGAATTTCTTCGCTTTGAGCTGATGTAATGGCTAATAACACACACATTCATATGTTAAAAACACAGCTATGTAAACTTAAAACATGAGTAAGGCCTGTACAAGTGTAATCAAAAGCTACAGCAGCATCTACGACAGATRTGAGTCAGATGTGAGTCATGCTAAGTGGTAGGAAAGGTGTCACTCTTCAGGCAGCAGAAACAGTTGAACCCATTTCAGACCAACCAGAAAATCTTGGTTTTAGCAACACAGATGACTTGGAATGTCCGAGAGAAAGCTTTGACAAGACTGACTCGAGAAGAATGAGAAAAGTTCTTCCTCTGGGTCAGTCTGTTCTGAACTTCAGAAGTGTCAGCCACCACACAGGCTACCAGATGAGCCCAAAAAGTAAGGAGAGTTTCTTCTACAGGACTGATGCAGCACAGACAGAGCTTTTAGCAGATTRAATGAATTATTTTGGATGCTCTCAAATGTTACAACAAACAAACAAACAGGAACCCACAACCACCACCGAGAAAACTCCAGACACGGGGTCATCCAATGACACCTCTACTAGTATTCTTCTCAACTTCCGRCAATTTACAGCTTCTGATGCAGGAAATACTCAAACTGTATGTTTAAGGAAGCCCAATGATGATTCTATCACTGACCTACCTAATGGCTCTTGATGGCCATTTACACCTATATCATCCATTAAGATACTGTGATACACTCAAATACCTGCTTCATTGAAGTTTTTCTTTTTGCTTAAACCTTTGTCTTCTTTCAGGTTTGCTGAAGTTCTTTTAGTCATTTAGTACCCAATCAAATAATTTCTTATTCTCCCTTTTTGGGGATGTTCACCTCTACCCTTCTCTGTGCTTTCCTACTTCCACTACCTATTTTAAGATGTTCGAAAAGGAAAACTCAAATTTCAGCAAACAAGGATTCAAACAGCAGCAGAATTTTACCTTTTTATTTCTTTCCTAACAGTTTCTAACTGGCTAACCAATCAGTTCAAGTTCTGAAAAAACAAACAAACAAAAAAAAACCACTGTGTGCCCACAACTGCTATATATTAAAGGACATGCCATGATCTATTTAAAAAAAAAATCTGGTATTAGTAGCAGTTGCGTAACAGTAGCTTCTCCTGATGTTCACATCAGATAAGATCATTTCAGAGCAGATAAACTCCCTATTTTGGTTACTTCAATCATTTGTCTCCTTTGTATTTTTCCCTCTCATTATAAAAATGCTACTATAATTTGAACAATATCTTGCAAAYGAATGTGACTGCAGTAGCTTTACAAGTTCTTAAAGTCAAGCGCACACAGAATTTGTGAAAAAAMACCTTAACAAGCTGAAAACAAGCTCTTTCATACCTTGTATACTTACAGAAACAGGATTTTTTTTTCCATCAAAATTCTCAGTGTAATAATTAACAACAAAAATTTTCAGAACATCAGATGTCAGTAAAACAGTAGTCATCTTATGCAAATTAATCACYTGTATTACACTACAGCAAGTTTCTATTCCACAAGCTGCCCAATGATGGCGGCAGCTCAGCCGTAACTCATGCTTGAGGTTATTACAAAGAAGTCAAAATGGTAATACCACACAAAAAAAAGAATATTTTAGGGCTTTCTCTCCCAGTCCAATAGTAAAACCAAATAATTAAATGCCATTAAACAATGGCATTCTTTGGAAGTGCAGATGGCAAAGACTAGGAGATGTCTCATTGATAAACATCCGGTATTTCAGGGACTTTAAACACATCCTTAGTGGTTATCATGTGCACTAATACTAGTTATATTTAGCTTGGAGTTGTGAGGTAGGTAGGGGGAGTGGAGCTTTATATCTTTAAGGCTGCGTTAGAAATCCAGATTAAGTAAACTCTTGAAACATCTGGCAACTACATCACAGCACTAAAGAGAGAGCATTCATTTTCTTCCTTGCTCTAACAGTCATAAGCTTTACTAAAACTAAATAAGCTCTTTTGCTGTATCCAAACAATAAATTTTAAAATGCATTTTTTTTTTCTTATCAAGAGATTGGGCTTATATGGCTGAAATTCTAGAATCTTTCTATATTATTCAGATTTTGGAAGAAAAAATTTTTCAGTCAAAAATAAACACATGGTACAGCTAATGTTGAAGTTTTTTTTTTTTTTTAAGATGAACTTATTTACAGTCATCTAATAAAATATGACAAGTGCCATCTAATAAAATATTACAAGTGAAAAACGGCAATGTAAACATACTCTACCACTGTGCAATTCTACTCCGTAGAATTCAAGTGTTCGTGCTATATTTATGTAGCAGGACTCCGCTTCAGATTGCTTGAGGCCACTAGAAGAGAAAAAAAAATATGCAATCAAAAAGTAAAGATATGAAATTATATTTACTACAAATGCAGAAAGAAAGGAGAATCCAACCAGCTGGTATTTGGCAGACAAGCCTTCTTAAAATCTAAGGCCACAAAGTATTGCATTGGGCGAAGCATTTCAGTGCGCGTGAACTGTTCACTTAATAGCATTATTGTAATTTGCTTAATTTTATCTCAGACACTTTTTGTCAGTACTTCTTAGGGAAAAAAAAAAAGTACCAACTTCTTCATCCACCAATGCAGTCTAATTGTACATCTAAGAGGATATAATGTGCCCCAACAAGATTCCCTTAGGCATATTATTTTTTTAGAGCTGAGATTTTGTTGAGAATCAAACAATCAACAGCCAGCTCTCATCACAAATTTGCTGTGCCTGTTGACACTGAAGTACCAACAAGAATCAATGATTTAGGCACCACAGCACATTAAAGTATAGGAACAAGCACTAACTCCCACTCAAATTTTTTGACCTAAATAGAAAAGGCATCAGCTATCATCTTACCATGACAAAAACCCATCTTTTGCCAGATGTGCTTCCCTAGTGATGTCCATTAAAATATGGTAATCAAATACAGCTTAGTATCCTCATATGGCAATAACTTTGTTTTTTAAAAACAGAGTCTTCACATACAAAAAGCACATCTGTATTTTTAGGATAATAAACTAACATCCATGTTCTTTTGATGGCTCTTCCAGGACATCAAACTAATCTGCTTTGAAACTGTCACTACAGGAGATATTGTACCAAGCTCAAAAAAAAAAAAAAAAAAAATCCTGGAAGGACTGAAAGAAGCTGTTTTGATGATCCTGAGATAAAACACCTATTCACTTCTACATCTTTAGTGCTTGTCACCCTGAAGTTATTGGGGGGGGGGCAGGAAGGGAGGAAAAACTATTCCTGGAAAGGTCAGGATGTGATGCAGAAATTACAGGCAGTTTACCTCGACTTTCCTACCATGTTAGAAAGGTAGAGAAAAACCCACTTGTGCATATTCTGCAACAGACTGTTGAATACAAAATAACTGACAATACTGTACTTCTCAACGTCTATGCATTATCTGTGTGAAATCAGTCAAGCCCTACATCTTGAGAGGCAAACAAATGCATTGCCTTAACAACAATGAAGTCTATGCTAAGTCCTATGCTTTTGAAAAGAAAACTAAATTTTTATATCCTTACACAGGTGTCCATTCCTCAGTGAGAAAAACAAGCAGGAAAGTTCATCTAACCGTTTCCTTCCAATTTTTATGGCTTTTGATATCCAGGGGATTGCTACGCATGTAGAACTCAAGCACTATATGAAGTTTCAAATATATTGCTTCCTCAAATTAATGGATAAACCTAGCAAGCAGGGGGAAATCATTTCTAATTTGGATAATATCCTAAGATCCCAAGCAGCTTATTTAAGTGAAAAATTATTTAAAGGATCTTGTTAAAACAAGCCACATACAGAAAAATCCTTCTGTAAACTCAGGGATTAGCACAGAAGGACAAGTATTACAAAATTACAAAATTTCTGAAGCCTAGCCAGTCAGTATGATGCCAAAGGCTTTTTGAACAGCTACTGTCCACAGAGTCATGTCTGAAATGAACATATCCAAGTACTGTTCTTCCTAACTTTAATTACCATCACTTACTTTAATTCAAATAAAGCTCCTTAAATTCAAAACTCAAATGAGCCTCTTAGTCATCAAGGTTTCAATCTACCACAAGGACTTCATGAAGCATCTGTTTCACCTTTGAAAGGACCCAGGTAAGAGAGAAGTGTTTCTAACAAGCTTCTAACAAGCCACCACCACCCCTTTGCCTACACCTATGGCAATTTTCAGTCTGCTCTCTGCAGGACCTAACCAAACTGCTGACTCCCGCAACAGCAGCATTAAAGTCATGACCTCAACACATGCACCTCAAAACCTCGTCTCAGTGACTTGAGACTAAAAGAAAGGGTTTATTTATGCCTGTCTGCAACACTCCTCTAATATCTTCTGAGTCTACTGATACTGACAAGTGAATTTGAAAGGAGTAGAGGCCTCAGATGCTTCATTCCTCAAGACAAACRGCTAGGAAGGAAGTGTCCAGATTAGTACCTATGCAAAGGGCATGGGTGCAGCGTGAGCACAGCAATTATCTTTTCTCTTTTCATTCCACAAGTGGCTAAACAGTGTGTGTGTTCTGGGTTGGGCACTGGTGGGCACACAATTTCAGAACTGTTTAGTGCACCTCTCTCTAAGGTGCACTAAGGTGAGAGGTGAGAGCACTAAAAGATAGCAAAGAGATTAAGCAACATTAGGGAAAGGGGGGAAATAAAGGGATTTCAGCAGCAAGGTATAAATTAGAGAARCTAAGGGAGTAGGGAACTAGCCCTATTTTAACAAAGATAAGGACAGAAAATAAATCCATTGATATTCTGATTTCACTTGATCAAATGCTCACACACAGTTCCTTAGGTCAATATATTTGTAATCAGCATGTGAGTACATTACCAACCCCAGGAACTCCAAATCTGCAGTCTACAATCCTATATCATTTCAGAAATAGTCTCCAAAGCCCTCAACCAAAACCCCTCAAACACTTTAGAATAGTGTTCTAGATGGCTGGCACTGTGAGCGTGTAGCACTAGCTCATCTACTAATTACATTAGCAAGAAGTTTCTTGAAAAGTTTCAATTCATTAACACTACACTTGGAATAAAATTACTTTCAAATGTATATTCTAAAACCAAATATATTATTCAATAAAAATTACATGAAAAAAATGTCTTTTGAACTGAAACTACCAAGAACATGAACTTCTCTCCCTTTCACTTTTTTTTTTTTTTTTTTTTTTTTTTTAAATGAGATGAGATTGAACTCATGAAGTGAGAAAAAACTAAAGAATTTAGATTACCTGTGCTGTTCATGTAGAGATTCTACTTTGGTAAGAAAATCTTTGTTCTGCTCTGGTATGAAGTTGTAATTCGAAAGATATCCTGAATGATGTACCAAGGAGTTATAGTCTCCAAGCTGAGCTGTTAGGAAACAAGAAGCACAGACATGTTTTCATAGTTAGTTAATTACTGACCACATTAAAACTATGCAAAACACACTTGAGAGGAAGGCAGGAAGTGGGAGTTATTGCCCACCGGTTCACTGTTGAACATAAGTGAGTTTTAATGACATTGGTGAATAAGGCTCACTATAACCGCTTTCAGGCACTGACTCAGTACCACGTGTGCTCACACACTTCCACATCACCAGCTGCAGCAACACTAGGTAGGCAGCGCATGCGACATCAGCACAGACACACAGTGTTGGAACATGCGAGGAAACCAAACTGATTCAGTAAGAGCGGGCAAACAAAAGTCTATTTGTTATACATACGTTTACTTGACTATAACAGATTTGAAGACTTCAGCAAGATAACTCAAATCAAAAGCATCTACTCATTGTATTATCAAGTAAAAACTGTTCAAGCTAACTACTAAGCTAACTRCTATGACTTTGTCCTAACAGTTCAATGGTTACTCTTATCTCAGCTGAACATGAGTTGTTTAACATGGCACAAGAAGCAACTCTCAATTTATACATAACACTGACACAGCTAGTATGAAGGTAATATATATTGATAGTCAAATAAACAGACAATATTCCCCAAAATTTTATACCTCCATGATACTGAACAGTACTAAAGAAAAAAAAAATGGTTACTACTTAAAAGCTATTCTTATTCTCAGATGGCAAAATATCTAAAAAAARGATGAACATTGTAAATGACCATAAGTGACGATAACCCTCAGCCCAAGTAAAACTTTCTTTAAAACGTAGGTCAGCATTAGCCTACATACTGGGACAGGGGGGTCAGGGAATACAACAATAACAAAAGCATAACCTTTTTGTTACAGAAATGGAAAATTTAGCTGGAGGGTGGGGGCAAAAGGCTACGTGTTTCAAATTAAGTACTTACCTGTTTGTCACAAATTTATCTATGTGCAAGTAAGTAAATTAAAATCTCCATTTCACAAAAGCATTGCAGCTTTCATAAAATAAGGTTTTAATAATGTTAATAAGTAATGTTTAAGTTACTGGAACCTGAGCTATTCTGTTTACTGTCCCCACACGATAGCTTTAAAGCACTACAGATTGCTGTACACCTGTACAGACTGCAAACACTGCAGCACGGAAAACCTCAACTAAAGTGAAGTTAAAGAACATATTTTAAAGACAGTGTCATTATTTTGTGGGACAATGTAATAGCATTAACTTCCAGGAAATACAAAACATAAAACAATRATTTAAATGACTCTGGCTCAGAAAATGTACGTTTCAGAAATAATTCACAGGTACAATAACTAAGAAGTATCTGTAATCCAGTGGAAAATTAATATTCATGATTTACATAATCAAAGTATGACTTCTATGGCCTACAAAACTGAACCACCGAGACATAAAACATTTTCTAAACAAACGCTGTTAGAAACTAAAATATATTTGCATACTTAATTATCAGCATGAAGTGTTTTAACCGAAAAAGTGGATGGACACACTTTAAGTAATTCATTTTGAACACATAGTCCTGAAATGCTTGGACCTTTCTTTCCTTTTTACAGTTAGACCAAATTTCAAATTAGTTTGCAAAACGTCTGGTAAAAGATTAAATATTTACAATAGAACCAAAACATCTACTTGAATGCTGCTGTTTATCTCTTTGACAAGGAAAAAAAATCAAGTCAGAGGATTTACAAGTATAACAACAAATAATCTTTTTTTTGAATACAAAATGAGAATACAAAATGAAACAAAAGTTTAACTCTCTAGGCTAAGGAACAACAATAACTGTACAAAGTAGAGATGTTAGTAACAGTGTAAAACCCACAGTTTGACAGATGACAGTAGCTGATTGAAGACCATTTTATCTTTATTAGCCATTAACACTTGTCATCTTTTCCTAGAAAAATAATCTGCATTTTTAACGCTGTTCTGGCGATGGACGTCTGAATTACATTCTTGTCAGTGGGAAGAGACTGGATTGCCAAGAATAAGACAATATAATTGTCCACTTCTAAATTCATTTGTATCAGGTAAAAATATTTTTTACTATAATTTTACCTTCTCTAAAGAGGGCAACTGTTGTTCCTTGGTTCATTATGATTATCTKCTGGCTCATCTTCCAAACATGAAGGTTGTTGTGGTCTTTTTGCTTCTTCCTCCTAGCTACCTGAGGTCATGCCAACAAGGGGAGCAGTTTAGAATACTACTTGCTTCTCCAACTCTCCAGCCAACTGTCAGAGTTGAAGAGAAACTATAAGCGCTCATTAGTAGACATCTTGGAAGAGTAATCATCTTTTGCGGGATTTAAATTATCCAAATACAAGAAAAAAATAGGGCATATTGAGACCTCAGTAGGAAGAAAAACATAATATTTCTATCTCTTTACTGCATTTCTTCAGGAGAGAACAGGGAAGGAAATAATGTTGTCTTCCTCCAATCTAATTTTTTCCCAATATAGCTTTTACTTAGATCACATGGACCAGCATTTTTGACTCAATATAAAGTTACAATTAAAAAAATACATTTTTATCTTTTCCCATTCTAGTTATGTGTTACTGTTTAAATTCATTATAACTGGGAAAGAGTATGAAGTAAAATAAATAGAAGGAAACGGAAGGAGGGAAGGGGCACATTTGCTTTAAATATGAGACACATTCAAAATTTACAGATTCAACATGAAGAGCTTTAAACCAATCATTCAACATTCAAAATTTACAGATTCAACATGAAGAGCTTTAAACCAATCATCCCAAAGGCCATATTCAAAAGCACATTCACTTTATAACTCTCAGTAAAGGACAGTGCAACAGTCAAATAATGTGATGATTTTTCTTGGAAGAAGGCCCATGTTGGTCTGCTCAGATATTAACTGTATCATTCAAGTACTGTACTCAGTATAGTAAGAATTTATGAATGCTTAAAGAACAGTTTGCACTGATACATGTTAACAGGTCGTGTTTTCTTCAGATTTGACTGCTTGGTTAGGAAGAGGAAGGCATATTTGTTTCTTTCTTCTGTCAGCAAAAATATTTTTTTTCTGAAGACAGATACCGGGGAAAAAAGGACTGGATCAATTAGAAAAGAAATAAATATTTTGAGAAGATTCAGATACAGGGGAAGGGAAAATTGAACACAAGCAAACTAGCATAGCACTGAGATTTTAATAGAATTTATATGGGGTCACACACAACTTTCCCAAATAAAAAGTTCAGGTATCAAATATATCATTGCATAGAAACAGAAAAGGCACCTTTAAAAGAGAAGTTTAATAAACGGAAGATCTAACAGTTATGGAAGTAAAGTCATTCATACCAACAGTAGTTATAGTAATTACTGAGACTTCATTTATTTAGTGCTTCCTTTCAAGACCATTAGTCAGGCAGCTTATGCAACATTTCTGCCTTCCACTATGCAAAGAGAAGTTGCAAAAAAAGAAAGCCAGGCTGTGTGATGTTGTGAAGCAAGAGGATAACAGACAACAGACAAGTTTCCGCAATGGAAACTAAGAAGTCATCCGGAAAGTTTAGGAAGGACAGGCTGGGCAGACAAGGTGGTGGAGTTGCTCTTTATGTGAGAAAGTAACTGGAATGCGTGGAGCTCAGCCTAGGAGTGGATGATGAATGAGTCGAGAGCTTGTGGTAAGGATTAGAGGGCAGACTAATTAGAGTGGTAAGGATTAGAGGGCAGTGGGAGACACTGTGGTAGCTGTTTGCTACAGGCCACCTGATCAGGATGAAGAAGTTGAGGAGATCTTCTACAGGCAGCTGGAAGTAGCCTCACGGTCAAAAGGCCCTGGTTCTCATGAGGGACTTCAATCACCCTGACATCAGCTGGAAAGACACCACAGCAAGGCACAGTCCTGGAGGTTCCTGCAGAGCACTGATGATAACTTTTTGGCAGAGGTTGGAGAGGAGCCAAGAGGAGAGATAGGCTACTGAACTTGGTAYTAAGAAATAGAGAGGGACTTCTTGGAGAGGTGAAGGTAGGGGCTAGCCTTGGCTGCACTGATCATGAGTTGGTGGAGTTCAGAATCCAACAAGGAGGAAGTAGGGCTGTAAGGAGCCTTGCAACCGTGGACTTCAGGAGGGCTGACTTAGGCCTCTTCAGAGATCTCTTTGGAAGAATCCCATGGGCTAGGGCTCTAGAAGGATGAGTGGCCCAAGAGAGCTGGTTAGTACAAGCAGCACTTGCTCCATGCTCAGGATTGCTGCATCCCCATGAGTAAGAAGTCGGGGGGGAGGGGGGGGGGAGTGGGCGGAAGGGGGACAGGAGGCCTGTGCAGATGAGCAAGGAGCTCCTGGCAAAACTCAAGCAGAAGAAGGCAGTATACAGAAYGTGGAAGAAAGGACAAGTCCCTTGGGAGAAATACAGGAATGTTGTCAGGGAATGCAGGGATGTGACAAGAAAGGCTAAGGTGCATCTGGAATTAAATCTGACAAGGGATGATAAAAATAACAAGAACTTCTTCAAATATATCAGSGGCAAAAGGAAGATTAGGGAGAACATGGGTCCACTGGTGAATGGGGTGGGTGCCCTAGTTATGAAAGACATGAAAGAAGCTGAGTTGCTCAATGCCTTCTTTGCTTCTGTGTTTACCAAGGGCAGCCCTCTGGAATCCCAGAGCTTAGAGACCAGAGAAGCAGCCTGGAGAGAGAAGGACTTGCCCTGGGTAGRGGAAGATTGGGTCAGAGAACACTTAGGTAAACTCGATTCCCMCAAATCCATGGGCCCTGATGGGATGCAGCCCAGAATGCTGTGTGAGCTGGCAGATGTTATAGCTAAGCCACTCGCCGTCACCTTTGAAAGGTAATGGAGAATGGGAGAGGTGCCTGAGGACCAGAAGAAAGCCAATGTCACGCCAGTCTTCAAAAAGGGCAAGAAGGACCCAGGCAACTACAGGCCAGTCAGTCTCATCCCTGGAAAAGTSATGGAACAGCTGATCTTGGCTGCTGTCTCCAGACAGTAGAGAGAGAATAGTCAG